TTAAACCTTTCAAAATTTAAACGATCTAATAATAAATTATCACGAAAAGTAACTGATATGTTATTCAAGGTGCCAGTTCAAAGTGAACATACGTAAAGTGTATATTATCTAAATTTAGTTAATATATTACCATGAAAAGTAACTGTGATATTTTATTCAAGGTGCAAGTTCACATTGAACATACATACATATAAGTAAAACTGATTACAATTTGATTCTAGAAAATAAGTGCGATATGTTATTCTTAGTGCACAAAATATAATAGTCGTTTATAGAGATTTGATTTGAAATTCATACTAGCCCGTACAATAAAAATAATTGCTCGTAATTCCAGAGTACCAATTTGTTAATGACTCAGAAAATAACATGGCGGCCTGCTCTCAAAAACTTTTGATGGATAGAATAAATAATGAAATAAGAGTTGTGAAAATTGTATAAATTAAAGATCTCCAATCTTTTTTAGTAAAATTCCCGTTAATGACCATCATTAATTAGGCAGGGTGGCATATGTGATTGGGATTTAACATTATCAGTAATTTATTGAATAGACAGAGAAAAGTTTTTGTTGTATGCATCGGTTCAGTGTTTGAAATAACCATGACTATCCATATACTGTAAAGCACAAATTCTTCATTTCTATCATAATAATATCTATTTATTAAAATTTTAGCAGACGTCTTTAAATAGAAATAGTGTCTTGCGATCATGAAGAATAGGTTTTGAATAGCAAGGTTTCATTTGACTTACAATTTTCTTTAGAAACACAGAAGAAAAAGGTATTTGTATATAGTTTTGTATATTCACTTCGTTGTGTGTAGCTTTTAAAAATACGTTGAATCCTTATTCTAATCTAATTTCTTCTAATGTAATTATTTTTCGTATTTCAAATGTTTGTAGTAATTATTCTGTAAGAGCTTCGACATTATTTCTAAATGGACATCGAAAACATCATAGTTTTTTGAGAGCAGGCCGCCATGTTATTTTTCTGAGTCATTAACAAATTGGTACTCTGGAATACGAGCAATTATTTTTCATTGTACGGGCTAGTATGAATTTCAAATCAAATCTCTATAAACGACTATTATATTTTTTGCACTAAGAATAACATATCGCCTTATTTTCTAGAATCAAATTGTAATCAGTTTTACTTATATGTATGTATGTTCAATGTGAACTTGCACCTTGAATAAAATATCACAGTTACTTTTCATGGTAATATATTATTACTAAATTAGATAATATACACTTTACGTATGTTCACTTTGAACTGGCACCTTGAATAACATATCAGTTACTTTTCGTGATAATTTATTATTAGATCGTTTAAATTTTGAAAGGTTTAAATTTTTGAGTACCTCCTTCTTTGAACATGGCCTGACCTTTTCATTTTTATGATTTTTTAGGATAGTAATATCGAGAATCCTTCTATTCAAAAAACGACAATTCCACTACAAAACATTAATTTTTATATAAGAGTTTAACAAGGCTCTGTAATATAAATATAAATTTAACGTATAAGACGGGCAACAAGAGCCAAATCGCGGATGACAATGCGTTATCCTAAGAAACTAAATAATTTTTCGTTAGAATTAAATACCGGTGCACAAGGCACCAAATTTTTACTTGGACACGGCCAAGATTTAAATATGAAATAATCTCATATTTTAAGATTTAATTTCAATACCCCCTTTAACCCCCCCACGGAAAATAAATAAATGAATGCAGGTATTGAAATTAATCTCAAATATGAGATTATTCATATTTAAAATCTTGCCGTGTCCAGTAAATTTGGTGCTTGTGCACCGGTATTTAATTCTAACGGAACGAATTATTTAGTTTCGTTAGGATAACGCATTGTCATCCGCGATTGGCTCTGTTGCCCGTCTTATACGTTAAATTTATATTTATATTACAGAGCCTTGTTAAAACTCTTATATTGATACACGCTGGCTTAAAAATGCGTTTGTTTACCAACATTAATATATATAACAGAGAAGTATAGAATCGAAAGGATCTGAATAGCTCAGCTGGAAAGCAGTCGCCCGGCAAGCGAAAGGTGTCTCGGGTTCGATTCCCGATTCAGCGATTTTCGGATCTATATTTTTCTCTTGCATTCATTTATTTATTTTCCGTGGGGGGTTAAAAAGGGTATTGAAATTAAATCTCAAAATATGAGATTATTTCATATTTTAAATCTTGGCCGTGTCAAGTAAAAATTTGGTGCCTTGTGCACCGGTATTTAATTCTAACAAAAAATTATTTAGTTTCGTTAGGATAACGCATTGTCATCCGCGATTTGGCTCTTGTTGCGCGTCTTATACGTTAAATTAATTTTAAGGTTAGTCATGTTTTAAAATTTATCTATAAATAATGATATTATGTGAAAAAGATTTTGTTTGATAATGATAGTTCCATATCTCTCTATACCTCTCTCTCAACCATAGACCAACGATCCTATAGACCCGCGACTCTGTCTAACATCTGGGGAAGTTAACTTAAGTACCGTTCACATTAGTCTCGTGGCGCATTCACATGCGCCTGGCGCCCAACTTTGACGTGAGTTAATGAACGCCCCTAAGTAATTAACGCCACGAGTAATTAACTTTTCTGATACCGCTTTTACCGTTTCATTATTTAAACTTGGAGAATCTTTAAATTGAACGCTCCCCTGTCCGAACTTGGCGTTTCGGAGCGGAAAAAAACGTTGCAAATTTTTGGCGCCCAACGTGGGCCACGCCAATAGAATATTATAGGAAAAGAGAAAGGTAATATACCTGAAAATTTTTCCTTTTTCTGAATTTGTTTATCGAAATTTTTCTTTGTATGTGAGTGAAAATTTTGTTTTTTCATATCCTTTGAACAAACTATTTTTCCTCTTTCGCCTTTTTGTTCTCGTTTCCGTTCTTTTTCGTCTATCGTTTGTTTATTAGAAAAAATTTTTAGTGTCGTAACAGTGGTCCCGAAGACCAATAATTGGAAGATTGTGAAAAATTTTCTCTCGCCGTAAGTAATTAAGCCAGTTTCCACGTCTTTGAAACTTGTGAGCCATAAGGAAATAGGCCGATTGCGATACCGCGGCGCCGTACTTGAGTGCGCTAATTTATCGTTTTATTAAAATAATTATTGCGGGAAAGTGCCAATAATTTTTCGCAGTTTTTCTCTCTTTTGACCTTTCGTTTTAAGCTGATACGGAATATTTGTGAATTTTTTTGTTACCGTATATTTTATTATCCGGATACCGTTCCAAGTTGCTTTCGTCTGTTTAATATTGAACTTTGTGTGGTTTTAATCGTTTATTGAACGATCGGTGGGCAAGGAATATTAAGGACGATTGACGATAGCCGGGTTGGTTTTCGAAGGCTCCCTTCAATTTTATTAATTAAATAATAATTATGGTGTCGTTCCTGGTCTGGTAGTCTTTCGCTCGTCCTTCTTGCAACGGGAGCGGGTTAAAATCGCTACAGCGCAAAGATCCACAAACTCGGAGGTATTCGGTGAACGCACTTTTCGCAGAATACAGAGCGAAAACTGTTTCGATGGAGTATCACTGACTTGTGATCGCTTAGACGGCTGAACGCAGACTTACTCGGAATCGACCGTCGGATCGCAGGAACCCGCCGGTTTCGGAGAAAAAAGAGGGAAATAACACGAAATCAGAGCGCGGGCAATAACAAGCCGTGTTTATGTATATAGTTTTTTTTGGTTGATCAGCTGTGTGCTCGCTCGCGCAGACAAAAGTCGAGGCGAGCGATAGTCGCAAAAACGCTTCCAAAACATACCGCCCGCCTCGAATGAACACATTCGAAATGCGCATTGTGACGAACAAGAGATGCACTTCGGTTTGCACCACGACGATAACGTTTACAATCGATTGAGAGATCCACTCTATCGATTTGAACAGTCTTATCGTGATTACGAGACCAGTGACAAAGGTATACATAAGAATATAGTTGATTAAATTTTAAAACAAATTAAACAAACGCAAACAAACAAAACGAGATATATATATGAGCAAGTGCTCGCTTTACTTTTTATCTCCGCCCGCCGAGCCGGATATCATTGACATCTCTTGATTGATGTCGACGGGAAGATAACAAATTTTGGTGATAGGGCGCTTATATTCTGCGCGGCTCGTTCGGACGGTGACGACTCTCGTCAAGCCGTCGGCTCCGGGATGGCACGCAACAATTCGGCCGAGCTCCCATTGACTCGGGGGAGCTAGCGGATTTCGTAGAAGAACTAACTGACCGACGCGCGCTAATTTTTGTACAATTCGCCATTTTGGGCGTTGTTGGAGGGTGAGCAAGTAATCGTTGCGCCAGATCTCCAAAACCTTCGGTGATGCGCTGCGTCATCTGCCAGCGTGACAATCGATTTTCATGCAGGTCGAGAACGCTGGGTTCGGGAACCGCTGCTAACGGAGCGCCGATTAAAAAATGCCCAGGAGTTAAAACGCGGTAGTCTTCCAGATTCTCGGAGACGGCGGATAACGGTCGAGAATTTAAACACGCTTCGATTTTACAGAGAAGGGTGTTCATTTCTTCGTACGTGAGAGTGTGAGCACCTATGCAACGTTTGAGGTGCGTTTTGACGCTACGCACACCGGCCTCCCAGAGACCACCGAAATGTGGGGCGGCCGGGGGAAGGAAATGCCACGATGTTTTTTCGCAAGCGGTCGCCGCAATAAAATTTGGATCGCGGAGGGCGCGACGATGTGCATCGGCTAATTCGCGATCGGCTCCTTGGAAAGTTGTGCCATTATCGCAATACATCCCCTGGGGAAGACCTCGTCTGGACTGGACACGAACCGATGATACGCCGCGATAAAGGTGGCCGAAGTATAATCGGTCACGACTTCAAGGTGGATAGCCTTAGTAGTGAGGCATACAAACAGGCGATGTACGCTTTGTGAGACTTATGTCCGCGCCCGGGTGTACTTCGTAACAAAATAGGACCAGCATAATCGACTCCCGTGTGTGAAAACGGTCGCGCCGCGCGATTTACGCGAACCGACGGAAGATCTCCCATGAGTTCATTTGGAATGGTCGCAGCCTCGCGGGCACATCGCACACATTGTGAAGGACTGCGCGGGTACAAGTGCGAGCGCGAAGAATCCAGAATTCGGAACGTAAGGATGCGAGAGTGAGTTGTGAACCGCCGTGTAGCATGCGATGATGGTGATGATCGATGATGAGGGAAAGGAGAGGATGCGACCGAAGGACGATCGGGTACTTCGTCGAATCTGGCAGGCGAGCGTGACGTAGACGTCCGCGGACGCGGATGAGTCCGTCGTCGCTCAGCGAAGGATTGAGAGATGAAAGCGGACTGGATTTGGACACGGATCTCTTCGCAGCGAGACAGACTAATTCAGCGGGAAACATAGCTGCCTGTATACAGCGGAGCCAGTACGCTTTGGCTGCGGCGATTTCGTCGACGCGCGAACTGCGTTCGAGTGATTGATTTTGCCGTCGCGCGAGATTCCCGAATCGAATTAGATACGAGGTCACGCGAAGCAATTTCGGCCATGATGAGAAGCGAAAAGCGAGATCCCATAATTCCGGAGGCGCCGGAGAATCCGTGACGTGTACGTTTCGTTTCTCCAAAAGATCGGTGGATGTGATCTCATCTTGTATGAGATTGCCGTTCGGCCAAGAGGTTGGAGGCAAAGACAGCCACGGGGGTCCGTGCCACCATAACGGATGTGGAGCTAGTTCCTCCGGAGCAAGACCACGGGACGCGGCATCGGCGGCGTTGTCGTAAGTCGGAACATGGCGCCACGGTATGTCCGGTAAGGTCGTTTGAATGGCCGCGACGCGATTTGCTACGAACGTTCGCCAGCAAGACGGCGATTTACTTAGCCAGGCTAGCGTTATGGTGGAATCCGTCCAACAATGTATTTCGATGTTCGGCAGTTGAAGCGTCGTTCGAACGAACTGCACGAGGCGCGAAAGAAGATGTGCAGCGGCTAACTCGAGACGCGGAACGCTTAATGTTTTGAGAGGGGCGACCTTGGACTTCGCGGCGAGCAAGAAAACGTCGACCGATCCGTCGATGTTAATGTTACGGAGGTAGACTACCGCCGCATAGGCTTTCGTAGAGGCGTCTGAGAAACCGTGTAACTCCGTTTTCAAGGTATGAGAGCCGGATCGCGTCCAGCGCGCGATTTCGAGTTGATGAAGGCACGATAAGTGCGAATAATAGCGTTCCCAGTCGGTTGCGTAATCGCCGGGAATGTCGTCGTCCCAATCGCATTTTAATTGCCACAATGTTTGCAGAAATATTTTTGCGGTAATCACGACGGGGGTGATCCAACCGAGCGGATCAAATAGTTTGGCGATGGTCGATAAGATCTCGCGTTTCGTTTTCGAAATATGTGTCGGGAGAGAAACTTTAACCCGAAAGACATCGCGACACGGGTCCCACGTGAGACCTAGCACGCTCAATCGCTCATCATCATATAGCTCCTTTGAGCAGGCAAGACCGTGATCGGACGGATCAATATCCGATAGAAGATCTGCGCAATTGCTTGCCCATTTTCTCAAGCGAAAACCGCCCTTTTCTAATAAAGCGACAAGTTGGTCGCGAGTCTGGCGCGCGAGAATTTTATCGTCGGCGCCGAACACGCTGTCGTCGACGTAAAGTTGCGAAAGGAGAACCGGAACCGCGAGCGGAAATGAGGCGCCTTCATCTTGCGCTAACTGTCGCAAAACACGGAGAGCGAGGTAAGGAGCGGAAGCGGTGCCGTAGGTAACTGTGAGTAGTTGATACTCCTCGACTGGTTGTTCCGGAGACTCTCGCCACAGAATCCTCTGGTAGTCAACATCGCGTTGGTCAACTAGAATTTGCCGATACATCTTTGCGATGTCGGCAGTGTAGACATAGCGATGTTGACGCCATCGCATTAGCACCGTGGCGAGATCGAGCTGGAGCTTAGGCCCGACCATCAAGTGATCGTTCAAGGATGTGCCGTCCGAGGTTCGACACGACGCGTTGAAAACGACGCGTAAGCGCGTCGTGGCACTGCTGTCTCGTACGACAGCATGATGCGGGATATAATAGCGGTGGAGTGCATTCCCACGGCGATTATCCGCTGGCGCGATGGTCATATGACCGAGTTGACGATACTCGGTAAGGAATCGCGATAGGCGGAAGCCGTTTCCGGCTGACGAAGGAAACGCCGTTCGAGGCGTTGAAGGCTGGCGAAGGCGACGGCGCGCGATTCGCCTAACGAGACTGCGGTGTGACCTTTAAAGGGTAACCGAACGACGTAACGCCCTTGAGGCGTGCGGTAGTGAGTGGACGAAAAATGTTCCTCACATCGAGATCTTCGGGATTTGGAAAAGATGAGAGGGGAATATCCTCAATTTCCCAAAATTTACGGAGAATGGAGTCGAGAGATTCAAGGACGGTTCCATGATGCACCTGCACAGATGCGCGTGGATCAGTGGAGATGGGAGTGACGGGTCCGGAGAGGATCCAGCCAAGAGTGGTTTTTTGAGCCGTAGGCTCGTTACGGATCCTTTTCGAATACCGTCGAGGAGGATCAGGCCATACAGGTCGGCGCCGATAATGACGTCGATCGGATCGCGACTCATGAGATCTTCGTCGGCTAACGCAATCCAGATATATGCGACCAAGCGACCACGCGAATTTGTACGATTTGGCGTATATTT